CATCAAATTGAATATTGGGTTGACGGGGACAGTGCTTTCAAAACTCGATCAAACTAGATGGTTAGACTGGAAAAATTGGGAACTGACATCGTTTCACCTCAAAACCGCTTTTTGTCAAAAAATCGTTTATTTGGTTAGCGAACCATTGACCTGGGCGCTCGAACTGTCAACCTGGACAATAGTTTTTGGCCTTTTTTATTTTTTCTAATTTTTTATTTTTTTTGTCAGAGCAGGTCATCCGTTCAGACCAAACAGTCAGATCGTTCGACCCCAGAACAGTTCCATATCTGGTCCAATTTTAAAAACCTTGGACGGGGAGTGAGTGCCTTGCCTTGAGCTTGGCTTGGTGTGTGGCATGGCTTGGCCCAAGGCCCGACCCATGGACCAGCTCGGCCCACGGCACGACATAGGTCCATGCAGGCTCGAGATGTGGGCCRTGCCGAACCGACTCCCCAAATTATTCTAGAGGAGGGAGGCACGGCCCGAGACACCTTGTGGGCCAATATGGCATGACTCGCACTTTGTGCGGGCCACATGCAGGTCGTGTCATGCTGACCCAGCACGACCCAATTTACACCTCTACTTGAACTCACCCAATAGTGAAGACGAGGCAGGAAAATTCGAAGATTCTTCATCCTTGATGAGGAGTGGAATGCCTTATCCCTGAACTTGCCCGACATTCAAGGATTTTCCGGTGCATCGCAAAGTCACTGCTAGTTTACTATTATTAAATAAATGATGCTAGTGGAGGCATTAATGTTATTTCATCACCTTTGAAATGCAATGCGATAAGACGTGAGACCCCGTCAAAAGCGTCAAACGCCTCTAACATTTGAAAAACAAAATTTTAGGCATTGGATGTCAAACATCACCTTAGTGCATAACCTACCCAAACAAAATTGCATGTTCTGAGATAATGAAATGTCTGATTTGAATGATCCTCTAAAACTTTTGCTGCTACTTCGTGTGTTGGCAAAAATTTACTTCAAGGCATCGCTTATACACAAGATTTACCCTTCTTTGGTTTTGGTCATATTCCATGTCTGCTATAGGGGTGGCTATTTGGTCTTTATCAATGTTCTAAAAATTGTATATTACAAATCATATAGAAAGTTGAATTGTGAATTGTACCATCATAAGAATATTTTTATTTTTACAAATTTGTCAAAAATTAAAAGTAGATACTAAAAATCTAAATATATATAGAAAGGGGATTTTTGACTCTAATGGTCCTTTAACTTTACAGGTCACTTTTGACCCTAAAGTTTGGAAAGGCCTCTTAAGCCCTTAAACTATAGTGAAAAGGCCATTTTAAGGCAAAAGTCGACGATGTTAGAGACGCCACTGACAGTTCCGTTAGACAAATAATAAAATAATAAGACCCGCTGATTTGGCATGGTTTAAGTAAAAAAAAATTATTTGAAAAAGTAGACATGGGTCCYACATACAATTTCCACTATTTACATGTGACCAAGAATAAAATCAAAAGTAATTAATTTTATTTAATAATTAATTATTAATAAAACAAAAAAACAATCTGCTCTTATAACTTAAGTAGTTTCAAGAGAAAAAATAACAAGCGAGACATAAAATTCCCACCTATTCACATCTGACCAAGAATAAAAACAAATAATTATTTTTATTTAATAATTAATTAATAAAATAAAAAATTATTAATAAAACAAAAAAATAATCTAGCTCTTTCAACTTAAGTGATTTCAAGAGGAAAAAACAAGTGGGTCCCACTTGAAATTCCCATCTATTCACATTTGACCAAGAATAAAAAATAATTATTTTTATTTAATAATTTAAAATAATTATTTATTAATAAAATAAATTATAAATAAAATAAAGGTAATGAATTATTAATAAAATAATTAATAAAGCATTGCAAAAAAACATTAATAAAATAATCTATTATTATTAAATTGCCAAAAATTATTAAAAATTGCCAAGCATAACCTAAAATTACCAAAAAAATTCATTATTAATTATTTTATTAATAATTCATTATTTTTTTTGTTTTTTATTAATAATTTATTATTTTAATAGTTCATTAATAAGTAAATAATTTTTTTATTAATTTATTTTTAAATAATTATTATTTTTTGTTTATTCTTGGTCACATTATTCATTATTTATGAATAATTAATTATTAAATAAAAACAACTATTTTGTTTTTATTCTTGGTTAGATGTGAATAGGTGGTAATTACAAGTGGGACCACATGTTATTTTTTGCTTGAAAATACTTAAATTAAAAGAGTAGATTTTTTTCTTTTGTTTTATTAATAATTAGTTATTAAATAAAAATATATATATTTTTGTTTTTATTCTTGGTCACATGTGAACAATGGGAACTTTGTGGGACCCTGCGTAATTTTTCGAATATATATTTTTTATTTTTGACTTAAAATGTGCTATATTAGTGGGCCTTATTATTTTTTTATTTGTCTAACATAAGTGTCAACGGTGTCTCACTGTCTCTAATGCCCTCCTTTTTTTTTCAATTTTAAAAATCAAGTGACTTTTTCACAAAGTATATATATATATAKAGAGAGAGAGAGAGGTAACAGCAAAGAAATCATAGATTTTGGTAATTGAACACGATGAATGACCAATTATAGTAATGATCTTGGGCTACAGACCAGTTTGAGACTTTGGGGTAATAAAAGGCCGTATAACATATTTGAAGTCGAACTATTATTATTATTATTATTATTATTATTATTATTATTATTTTTTCCTCCACTTATTAATATATTTAAATTCAGCGAAGAGGTCTAATTTCCAATTTCCAAACGAGGGCGATAAATTATACGACTGTTACCAGGCTTTACCAAGCTCGCCTCAGTTAGTGGGCAATAATACGACTGAACAAGGTTTGGGAAGAACCAAATGTTGCAAGCTCAAGTTTAGGTCGGCAAGAATTAGACAAACTCGGGCTCAGCTTGTTGCTCAGTGCTCGCACACCAAAATTTGTTAATACAGAAAAAATATAAGCACATTATAATATTTATATTTATATATCAAACCAGGTCAATGTTTGACTGTTCAGTTTTAACGGATGGCCTATTCTGACAAAAAAATTAAAAAATAATTAAAATTAAAAAAACAATCAAGAACCCTTGAACGGGTCAGTGATTCAACCACCTGGGTTAACAAATTGTTGACCAATTCAACGGTTTGAGATAAAACAGAACCAGTTGCCTAGATGGTTCTTGGGCCAAACGGTCCAACCATCCAGGTTAACGACGGTTCGAAAACATTGGTATCAATTAATACAAATCAAGTTTTTATTTTTATTTTTTCAGATTTAAATGTTTAGTAATTTGTAAGAAAATTCGATTATAGTACTGGGAATGCTTATAACCAATCAACTGGTATCATAAAATGGTAACTAATCGGGTGGAAATTCAGCTCAGGCATTCAGTTGACTAACAGGAGTTTACCTATCTTGGCTCATTTACAGCCTTTAATACAAGTTCTATGATAGCATGGGGACCGAACCAGTGCAACCGACTCTACTTCGAGGACAAAAGGCAAGTGTTAGGACTAAAGTGCTAAGAAAACTTGAATGTTCCTTCTGCTCTTTTCGTTGATGCATTTGTGGAAAGGACAATATACCAGACATATTTTAGTTAAAAAAGGCATGATGTTTATCTTTTTCCTAAAGTTCTTTTCCCAGTACATTTAACCGTGTTCAGAAAATTTGCTTTCTTTTTTTTTTTTTTCCGGCATCATAGAATTTGCCTCGTTGTGGTGGTTGTTATTGTTCTTGTTTTAAAACGAATACTGCATTTGTGGACAGAGTTGCCGTGCACATAATGTTCAAACCTCAGAGCAGATTCAAACAAGGATCAAAGTATCAACACATATCAGTCAATACGTATCGTTCCGGGACCCCTCCAATACGCCCCTATAGTGGGTGTATCGGGGGTCTGACCGGTTCAGGGGGTGGAGGAGCCCTAAACCGCCCCCCTGGACCGGTTTTGAAAAAAATAAAAAAAAAATAAAAAAAGGGTATCGATTCGCTCGATACGCCCCTACCAGTGTATCAGGCGTATCGATATTTTAAACCTTGAATTCAAATCCATCTCTCTTTTGAAGTTGGGTGGAACATTCAAAATCATATCTTTATTGAAACAACAGAGAATTTATAAGATCCATTAAGCAAATGGGAAACATGCTTGCCAATCTTCAATATCTTAGCAACAGAGAAATGCAAATTTATAATTATTGTGCCATGCGCAATAAGCAGAAAAATCAGGTCAACGGTCTTCTGTTTTTTACCCTGCCACATCTTTTCTGTGAGAATTCTCTGTTTCAGATTCTTGGTCTTGCTGTCTCCTCAATAAGGCAAAGAACGCTCTTCACCTTCGATGTCAGTAGGGAACAGAGATTCTATATTTTGGTTTAATGTTCCTTCTCAGAAGATGGGACTAAATGCTTATTAACAATAAGTTGTTAATGTTTATTAACAACAGTAATGGGACTAAATGCTTTCTTTACACAGTTCTGATCTTAATGCATATTGAAGTGGGATTAAATAATCTTAACTCTTAAGGCAACTCAAGAGGAGAAAATCTTCATTTCATATTTATTTGCAAATTTTCTACTTACAAGTATTTTCATGTTCATAGGCTCAGTTTGGAAGGAGTACAAATGCAAATATGTAGAGTGCAAAATCTTATATTTTGCATTATTTTTGTATATATTTGCAATGTACATATTTGCATTTGTACTCTTTCCAAACTGAGCCATAGGGGTAGGGCTAGACCAAAAAGGAAATTGGTCGAAGTAGTAAGAAATGATTTAAGTCCTAATAATTTAATAATGGACCTGACATTGCAAAACAGGATTCATGTATCTGACCCATATAGTTGAGATAAGGCTTGGATAAAGATGCTAAAATATTTTCATATTCCACGCTCTACTTGAGTAACATGACATTAGAATTTGTATCTGCTGTGGACAATGATTTGATTCTGTCAACAGACATTAGAAAAGTTGCAAGTTTTCCACTTATGAATATTATTAGGGGTCAGTTAATCACATTCAGTCAACAGACATTACATGATGTAACTATCACAAAATTTTGACGATATGGACAATGAAATTAATACATAAGAGCACATTGAGGCCATAGGAATATTTGAATACACAAGACATTCATGTACCTTTCTGCGGCAGTGTTTCAAATGCAGAGACAGTATTTTCAAACTTGATCCGATGAAGGGGGGCACCACTTTGTTTGATTGCACATGCTGTCTTGTCTTCGAGTGGGCAACGTGCTTTCAGCATTGAAAATACATGGTTGTTCAATCTTCTGGCTTTCTTCATAGCTTCTAATAGGCTTTCCCACCCCTTTTTCACCAAAAGAAAAGGGAAAAAAGAAAAACAGTCAATGATTGGTAAAGAAAAAGAAAGTAGCGATAGTGTCTTTGGTTAAAGGGTGGATTGAAATAGATGAGGCATGAGGCATGAGAAACACTTGGTAACTCGTTCTTTTAAAGGAAAGGGATGCAGCTTCAGTAAATAGTAATTCAGTAGAAATGGAAGTTAGCAAATGCCATGAAACAAGAATAATATTTTAACTGACCTGCACAAAACTAGCAGTCTTAACTGTTTGTGTAATTGATGCAGTTTCTACCTCTGCTACATTGAGGAGTTGATAAGAAAAATCAAAGAGCTCAAAGTGCAGTTGTTGACCAAGCAAGTAAATAATAGTACAACCACCCCAAGCTACAGAATCACCTAAAACTTCGTGATTGTTTGGGGGTGCTTGAACAGATTGCTCCAAATATCCCTGCAATTCAGCAAGTTTGGTTGAAGTAAATATCCATGATGCCAAGATATTTCAAGACTATGGCATCAATGAAATTACCTGTTACATCTAAAAAGGCATTCAAATACAGAACATTTTCAAATATAAGTATTGTACATGTGTGTGTAGGGAATTTCCCTAGATAACCTACTTTATTTTAGCAATGTGAAAGGAATTTTGTGGCTTGTCCAGACAGTTCAACAGAGAAGGAACCTATGGATTGCCCACGTGTTAAATAAACTCCCTGTTGATGGGACCTATTTCTCAAACTCCATGGGTGACAAAGATATTCAGATGTTAAACATATTAGGGACCTATTTCTCAAACATATTAGGGATCCCTTTGATACTGATTCAGTGAACTAGCAGATTTATAGGTGGTTTACTTTACACTTTTATCCACAAATGGAAACAATGGGGCTTCTTGGTAAGATTGTTGCCTAATCTAATTGTTTGGGAGGTTTGGAAGGAAAGGAATGATAGACATATGGAGAATAGAAAAGATTCTTTGCCAAGGTAGAAGGTTGGTTACATGCTCTCTCCACCCTTGGTTCTCTGCTGTGAAAAATGAAGAATGCAGTATTTATCAAAAAAGAAAAAAGAAGAATGCAGTAGAGGCATTTCAGATTCTGAACTTTGGGCCCTTGATGTTGGAAGCCAGAGTGAACAAGGTGCGGTTGGTCTATCTGGCACTGCCACATGAGGATGCCATTCTTCTTTATGTGGATAGGGCTTCTCGGGGCAATCCTATAAGCAGTGGTGGTGGGGTCATTCATGACAAACATTTACATTTCATTGCAGGTTTCTCGAGCTTCTATGGAGTAATGTCTAATATGGAGGTGGAAACTAAGGCACTTCTAGAAGGACTTGCTTTGATGAGATCTTTGGGTTTTTCGTAATTTCATTTATGTGGACTCAAAGAATTATGGTTAAAATGGTGCAGGGTAACGTAGAATGGCCCCGGAAGTTGTGGTATATTACGCACAAAATTAATCTAGAGCTTGCAGATATTGCTTAGAGTATGGATCATATTTACAGGGAAGGTAATGGAGTGATTGATTCATGGCAAATGCTTTGTGCAACTCACTTCAGAACTTCATTTATGATGATATTAGACAGATTAGTGATGCCATGACTATGGCCTTATGCAGAGATGCATTGAGGCTGCCTTTTCTTCATGTGAAGTGATTGCTTATGGCACTCAGACTGTTTTTCTTGTTTATTTATGAGCAGAGTGACCATATATTGTATAGATTTTTTGTGGGACAAGGTATTTACATCCCCACTGTAGAGAGACTGGGCTGAATRGGCCCCAGTATTTGTTTTATGTTTAAGCACTATTTTATTTTGTGTGAATGGGCCTGTTAACTTCATTTTAATTTCTTTTAAGTTATTGCTTAGCTGGCCGCCCACTTAAGGGCAGACATGTAATTAGCCTAATTAATTCAGATTAGTGAAGGGAGAGAGGAACCCATTGAACTCTCTTCTCCTTTCTCTTCTTCTTCTATTCTGCTGAAATCTTCTTTTCTCTCTCTTTATTTTCTGCTATAATCAGTATTTTTCTATCAGATTTGAAGGACAGATTTACATCTTGGCATCAGATCAATTCTTCCTCCTTTTTGTTTTTCCTTTTTTTTTTCCATACACCCTTCGATCAGAAGAGTGTATGGAGAGATAATTTCCGGATCAATCAGAGGACTATTTTCCTAGTTGGTAGAGGGTTTGGAGAGTTAGAATCTGGCCAAAGATTGCCAAGAAGTGAAGCTGTTATTTTTCTGCCCAAAACCTTAGCTGACTAGAGAGTTTTTCAAGTTACAAGGAGAAGGATTGGGCGTGGCACTCAGGGCTTGGGAGGTTTATTTTGATCCCCAGAAGTGTGCCGTTGAGATTTGAAGAAGGTTGGAAAGCTCTGGCAGGAATGGCTACCTCTTATCTCTTTCTCTCCGACAACCAGGTGCAGTGAAACCCTAGGTTTTGAATCTCCTGGTACTGGGCTGACCTCAGTTAGGTCTATAAAGACTGAAAAACTAGTTTTTTGATTTTCGTTTGATCAATGGAGCAATTTGGAAGTGAAATGAAGTAGATGCCGGTATCCTGGGTTGGTCCGGTAGATTCCTTTTTGAATAGAGTGAGCACAATTAAACTAGATGGAACCAATTATCTAGACTGAGCATAGTCTATACGAATTTATGTTTGTAGTAGAAGTAAACTAGGGTATCTCATAGGCAGTAAGGAGAAACCTGCAAAGATGGACCCTGCGTATGAGAAATGGATGTAGGAGAATTACACAGTGATTGGATGGTTGCAGCCCCATATAAGTCAACATTACCTTTGGATGACTTCAGCCAAGGAGATTTGGGATAGTGTTACAGAAACATATTCACAAAAGTTAAATGTTGCTAAAGCCTATAAGTTGAAAGAGTGATGTGAACAATCTGAGATAGGGGAGAAGAGTGTAGCAGTTTACTACTCCATGTTGAAGTCACTATGGTAGGAAATTGATGTTATGGAGACAATTGTATGGGAGAGCACTAAGGATACAGAGACATTTAGAAAATTGGTGTAATGAAACAGGGTATTTGAGTTTCTTACAAGACAACCCTGAGTTTGACATTACTAGGTAGAACATCCTGGCCAAAGATGAGGTCACTCTTGCTCAAGCATATGCTATGGTAAGTAGTGAAGAGAGTAAGAGACAAATACAATTACAGGGACCACCTATAGAACACTTTGCACATGCTAGAATAAAGCCAAAAGGGACGATTGAGAAGAAAGAAGTGATATGCGAGTACTGCAAGAAACTGAAGCATACTAAGGGCACTTGTTGGAAACTTCATTCAGACCTTATTCTGGACAGGTTTCAGAACAACAACAATAACAACAATTTCAAGAAGAATGGTCAAACTGGGAAGCCTAAGAATGCTAATGTTGCCACAATGCCTGGGGGTGGAAATAGAGAAAGTGAAGAAAAATCAGCTATGGAGCAACTGGCAACAGTAAAAGCATAATTTGGAAAGTATAGGATGTTACTTAATCACTTGAAGACCACTGTTTCAGCATCCAACCCTTCAGGCAATACCTCATCATCCGCATTTGCTCATTCAGGTACTCGTGCTTCTGCAAATCATGCTATTGTTTTTGGTAATCATAAAATCCCTTAGATTATTGATTTTGGTGCATTAGACCATATGACTAGTATATCTAACATCTTTTGTTCATATTAGCTCCTCTCTAGTAAAGAGAAGATATCCCTTGCTGATGGGTCTCTTGCTCCCATCTTTGGCAAAGGAGATATCAAAGCCTCTGACACTCTTGTCTTATCCTCTGCTCTTCATGTCCCCAAGCTTAATACCAACCTTTTATCTATTAGTAGCTTGACTAAATCCATGAATTGTAGCATAACCTTCTTTCCTACTCATTGTGTTTTTTAGGACCTGAAATCTTAGAGGACGATTAGGAGTGGCCATGAGGCGAATGTAATCTACTTGTTAGACACACCTGATAGGAGTCTTGGACCACCTAATGGAGTAGCCTTGGAGTTTGTTTTGTTAGTCTATCGATAGAGTCATGTTATGTCATTTACATTTTGGTCATCTACCTTTTTTTGCTTTGAGACATTTGTCTCCCAGCATGTTTAAGGGAATATCTTTATCAAGTCTTCATTGTGAGTCATGTGAACTTGCGAAATATTGTAGCCATTCTTATTCAATAAGTAATAAAAGATCTATTTCTCCTTTTCATATTCTGTACTTTGATGTGTGGGGGCCATATCATTTGCCTACTATGGGGGGTTACAAGTATTTTATTCTTTTTATTGATGATTTTTCTCGCTATACTTGGATTTACCTCGTGAGATCTCGGGATGAAGTACCAACTATTGTGCAAAAGTTTCATTAACTTATTCTTACCTAGTTTAACACCCGGATCAAAACATTCCGATCACGATAATGCAAATAAATATTTTGAGAAGAACCTTTCATCCTACTTTGAGACCTGTGGGGTTATTCATCAAAGTTCTTGTTCCTACACTCTACAACAGAATAGAGTGGCGGAAAGGAAGAACCACCATGTGGTTGAGATTGCTAGATGCCTCCTTTTGCATCTCATGTTCCTATTAAATTTTGGGGGATGCTGTCCTTACTACTACATATTTGATTAATCGTATGCCCTCCCGGGTTCTGGGTTTCAAAACTCCGTTTAGCCTTCTCTTTTTAGATGAGGATCTCTTCTCTCTTCCTCTCCGAGTCTTGGTGCATTGGTTATGTGCATGTTCGTAATCATTAGAGACATAAATTTGAGCCTAAGGCTCAATAAGGAGTACAAATACAAATATGTAGAGTGCAAAACCTTTTATTTTATATTATTTTGTATGTATTTGTATTGTACATATTTGCATTTGTACTCTTTCCAAATTGAGCCTAAGGTACATAAGTGCGTCTTCCTAGGATACACCTCCACACAGAAGGGATATTGTTGTTTTGATCTGGTTCGTAGCACATGCTTTGTCTCTAGGGATGTTGCATTTGCTGAATCAATTCCTTTCTTTGGTATTTCTCTTAAGGGGGAGCATTCTGAGGAGTCATTTTCTATGTCCTAAGCTATTCCTCTTCTAGTTCCTTTTGAGTCTTCTGTTGAGTCATCTTCTTATGTTGCTTCTCCTTCCACTGTGTCTACTTCACATGTTCCTGCTCCCCTTCCTTCTCCAGCTCATCCTCCTATGTTTCCTTCACATCCTATTGTCCAAAGGTGGTACTGAAGACAAAGACTCAGGCATGGGCAAGTTGTATTTCCACTCCTTCAATAGAGCCCCTTGCATCTCCCATCACTACTGAGGTCATAGGTCAACCTTCCTCTGACCCATTTGTTACCTTCTTAGACCTTGACCTTCTTATTGCCCTTTGCAAAGGCAAGCAGAAGTGTATAACACATTGTATCTCTAAACACCTGTTCTACAACCTTCTTTCCCTAACCTATTATTCTTTT